TTTGTATTTTAAGTTCTTTCTTTTGTGATGAAGAAGATATCACTATGGTGTTCATGTTTCTTGTTACCCAATACAAACAATACTGTTCCTTTCTTGTCCACCCTAAAAGTTACTACAAATGAATGATTTTAATTTTAGAAACTTTAATAATTACTGTAAATTCAAAAAATTTTAAAACATATACCCTATGAAAGACAATTTTTAACAGTTTATTCATTTAATTTAAATGCAAATTAAGCTAAGATATCATTAAGATATCCCCATATTAAAAATGCTCCTAAAACCCAACAGCATAAACAAACACAACAAAATAGTGTAAACCCATTATGGTACAAGTAGTACACCCACACATCCCTAGTTTGCAAGTAAACGAAGCTTGGCGGTGTGGCGATCTTAGATCAGCCATACTTTAATTGTAAGTTTACGCTTCTATATTTGTTAATTTGTTTCTGAAAAAGAATTTTTTGATCAATTATGTTTAAATTATTATGATGATTATCTGATATGATAATCCAGAAGACATATATGGACTGTGGGAATTAATAGTACTGTCTCGAGGATGTAACAAGGAATTTCACGAGTGGAATATATAATTAAGTAAAGCTGGCGACAAACGTTTTCAGCAATTAAGAATAAAAATAAAAACTTGTTGAGATTCTCAAAACTCTTGTTGGAGTCGCATGAGGCTAGCTTTGTTGCTAAAGTGAATTTTGGTAGGTAGTAATATTCTATTTTTTGGATCTCTTTAAATGATAGGGAAGGATTCTTGTATAATTTTTTGGAATCTTGAAATAAGTCATGCACACAGCTCCGTCTTAGCTTATAGGCAAGGTAAACAAATGCCATGGGCGCATTTATAATTTTTAAAACTTTTTAAAGGTTTTAATTGGGCCCAATATTTTTCAAAAGAATAAATTATTAAGAGATTTTATATTTTTTGAGATTTGCCAACAGTCCTTTCATGGATTAAGACTCATGTTAAAACATATCTATGTGGAAATAACATTGCATGGCAGGAAAACTCATTTAATTACATGCAGAAATGTCTTCTTTTTTTTCCGGGTTAAAGTCTTCAGAAATGTGAAAAGAAAGTAGATCGATCGGGCACGGACTTGGCGGCAGACTAGGGGAAACGTTGGCAAGACTTGCCAAAGCAGCCTTCTCTGGTGTCTGACTCTAGCGATGAGAAAAGGCAAACCAAATCTCAGCTCAACCTGTTACCCGTGAACCTACTCGACAAACCAACATCCAAATTAAGACAAATATGGACGGTGAGAAACTGAGAATAAGACACCAAACTGACCTATATGGTCGTACATATGATCCAACCAATTTAGTTTTTTTTGTTTTTGGTTTTCTGTGTTTCCCCATGCCATGTTTGTGTACGAACAAAAGGAACCAAATAAGGACGGTGAGAACAATTCAACTAATCAAGTAAAGACAGCAAACTTATTACATAAGAAAATATGGACGGTGGCCCAATCAATTTTGTTTTCGTTTTGGATTTCTTTGTTTCTACATCCTGTTAGAATTTTATAGAAATCATACGAAAATATTAATACAAGACTTATAGATTTTTAAATTTTTTTTTTTTTTTTGGGAAATATTAATACAAGAAAACATTAATTGGGAAAGCCAATTTGAACAGAATTCGTGTTCGAAGGTAAAAATGGAAGAAAACTTGTTGGTTTCCACGGACGCCATGGTGAGTCTATTGATGCCATTGGCGTTTACTTTAGAACTGGTTCTGGTGTGTAACTGCGTTTGGGTAACGGTCCGTTACTAACGGAGGAAGGTTACAAGACTGGTGAATGGGTTCATCAGACTGAAGTCCATGTCGTGTCTATCTGTTATCACCAATGTAATAAAAGACATATACTCTTTATTTTTAATTTTCTCTTAAATTAGATCCGTCCTTTTGGATCAAGTGTCGCTCCAAGTCGTGGGTGTAAGCAGTTCAGCTTTGTTGTGAATTAATGTGTAAAATAAGCTCCATATTTTTTGGTCATGAATTAAAACGATCCCTATTAATGCTATAGTATAAAACGAACACAATAAAATGGGATATAAGGAATGTCAAAATGTTAGAATTATATGAATTAAATTAAATGTCAAATGCTTAATATTGTTAAGGAATGTCTTTTAGTTATGAGACAAAAAAAAATGGATGCTTTAATACCTCCACCAAGACCAATCTTAGACGTTAGAATAAAAATTATAAGAAAATCATATTGGTTTTTTTTTTTTCTGAATAGCTTCGACGTGAATTATTTCATATATAACTAATTATCTTCGAATTCAAGTCCACAATCACACACACGCCTTGTGTGTGGTTTAGGTTTTTTCAACTTCTCTATATGTGGTTTTGTCCTACTTCTGTATGTGGTTTTCTTGTGTGGTTTGGATATATTTTGACCGTGCTATGTCTCTTTGTTGTGTTTGAATTGCAATATTCTTCGTTTCTGTTTTTTTCTGACTTAATAGAGTTTATGAACAAAGATTTTGTGAAATGATTTTTTTTTTTTTTTTTGTGCAATGATTTTCTATATTTCTCAATCAGTACTAAAGTTTGTGAAGTGATCCAAATCAACTCCTTTTTGTAATCATATCCATGCATTTTATATCTAATTGAAAAGTAACGATTCAAATCTAGTAGAAGACTTAATTTCTTTTTCTCCCACATAGAATACTTAATTTAGTAAATAAAAGTTATAAGAAAATCGTACAAAAATCTTCTACTAGATAGCTAATGTTTTTTTTTTTCTGATACAGACCACACGTGAATTAATTCTTTACAAAAACTTTCTCCGCCTTACGTCCACAAAAACACACATCCACTTGAAAGTTCGTTTCATTCCGCATCTTATTAAGTATGTAAACAATTGTCCTCCCAATTAGTTTTTTGAAACTAATTTTAGTTTGTTGTTGACAAGAAAAAAAAAAAAAGAGATATGCCGTAATATGCGATTCGAACCATTTACGTAGTTTTACGCATTAAAAGTGTCATCATAAATACGGAAAAAGAAGTGTCGTCGGTTATAGATCATTGAAGGTCTTTATTTTCTTTTTCTTTTTTAAATTATCATTTATTATTATGAGAATGAAAAACGAATTATTGTCGGTTGTGACAGATAGAGAGACTAATGTATTAATTATATAATCTCTTAAGTAAAGCATGGATTAAAAAAAAAATTGAGAACATAGATAAAACATATCTTTATTTTGTATGTGTAATTTTACCATCTAATCGTTTTATCGTTCAACGTTTGTATCTCAATTTGGATTACCGTTCATAGATTTGATTAACCGCACAACATTCAAACTGCATTATATTGCTCCAACACTCAAATCGAAGTCACACCTAAATCTCAGCTCAACCCGTAATAACCCATTAGCTTGCAACAAGTAATATCCAGAACCAGTCAAGTAAGGACGGCGAGAAAACCCCACTCAATTAAAGACAGCAAATTTATAACATATGGTCCAACTTAGTTTAGTTATTGTCCAACCAATTTATAGTTATTTGCATCATTAAAATATTACATTCCCTTTTCCCTTAATCTAAATAGTTTGTCCCAAACAAAAAATGGACTTTTGATGAAGCCACTCGATGATCTTCAATCAAAACGATTCATATATACTTAACACGGTTTCAAATTCCCTCTCAGGCCTCTTGGAACCAGAGAGTTAAATTTCTGTTTTTTTTTTTTTTTTTTTAACTCGATAGACATATCTAGGCTTACAAGGTCAAAAGTTGAAGCGCTGATTATTAATTATTATCTTGCTTACAGCTAAAGAGAGCAATTATAACATCACAATTATAAGAACAAGAATCTCATCAGGTCTCTTAAAGCTAAGGTTTGGGACATGAAAATTCCAAAGTTTTTAAAGAAAAAGAAAAAAAACAGTATGGCAAAATTTATCTGGTGCTATCTGGCAATGAATGTTTACAAAGGTAATGATTTAAATCTAGTTCTACGATGCGATTCCTATATCAGAGAATTGCTATGGAATCCATTAGCCTTTAGCCATATATGCTTTCTAAAGTTAAAATAAACAACTAAATTATAGTGTGAGATTCTAGTTTGCCCCAAAAAAAAAAAGAAATAGTAGAGATTTTAGCACGTTTCATATAATATTAAAATATGTAAAAATCTACAAGAGAAAAAATCAGATGGAGATTTTAGAAATAAAAATTATAAGAAAATCATACATCTTTTGCAGGTATTTTTTTTTTTTTCTGAATAGCTTCAACACGTGAATTATTTTCTATATAACTAAATATCTTCGACTTCTCGTCCACAATCACACACGCGACTTTAAATTTGATTGCATGTGTGTGGTTTAGGTTTTTTTCGACTTCTCTCTAAATGTGGTATTGTCCTACGTACTTCTGTATCATGTGGTTTAATTTGATTGTGTGTGAGTGTGGTGTGGTGGGTTTTCTAGTGTGGTTTGGATATTTTATGACCGTGCTATGTCTTTTTGTTGTGTTTGAATTGCAATATTCTTAGTTTATGTTTTTTTCTGACTTTAAATAGAGTTTATGAACAAAGATTTGTGAAATGATTTTCTATATCTCTCAATCAGTACTAAAGTTTGTGAAGTGATCCAAATGAACTCCTTTTATAATCATATGTAGTCATGCATTCTATATTTAATCAAAAAGTAACGACTTAAATCCAGTAAAAGACATAATTTAGTAAATAAATGTTATAAGAAAATCGTATAAAAATCTTCTACTAGCTAGTTATGATACAATCCACACGTGATTTAATTCTTTATAAAAACTTTCTTCGTCTTCACGTCCACAAAAACACACAGCCACTTGCCAAAACTTCTAGGTCTACCTAACACCAAATCTTCATTATAACAAAATTTAATTTCTTTTCGAACTTCACGTACGTGTACCGTCCACAGTCCACACTCACACACACAGTATCTAACTTCAAATCTTCTATATATACACATACGTAGTAGCATTATAACTCCACATCCCACAGCTCTTTTCCAATCTAAGGGTAATACAACGTGAGCTCTTCTATTATTCACATTATGATAATTCGATATGATTCATCCTTGCTTTCTTATTCTATTTATAGTTTTGCTATATACATACGTTGTCACTTGTCACATAGGTAATAATTAGGAGAAGTACGCTATAATAATAGAGTTTGTGTTTCTTCTTCCGTTGTTTTCTTTACCAATAAATTAATCATTAAGTATGCTTGTTGTTCCTTCTTTCTTAGTGTGTTTCTGATATATATAGGAATTTGAATGTTTCAGTTTTTTGCATTGAAGTTAAGAGATCGAAGCAATGTCTGAGAAGATGGAAGCAATGGGAGGTGACAAGGGAGGTGTATTCGACGATGGTGTTTTCGATGGTGTCAAGAAAGTAACTGTCGGACAAGAATATGATTGTCTGTCTTATATAAAGATCGAATACGAAAAAGACGGAGAATCTTTTACCCGTGAATACGGGAAGAAGGGCGATTCACTAGAAGAGGTAGCATAAACATCATGGCTTTGTGTTTTAATTTCTTTGGTCGTTTTTTTTTGTCTTACAAGTTTATACATTAATTGTTTGTTTCCAACTGAAAATGAAACCCAGTTTGTTGTGGGATATCCATACGAATTTATCACATCAGTTGGTGGAACCTACGGATACAGTTACAACTTTGACGTAATGGCGATTCAAGTGCTAGTCTTCAAAACTTCTTCTGGGAGAAGTGTTGAAATATCTTGCGACAAAACTTTATATTCGGGGACAGAGTTCAAGCTCGAGGGTAAAAATGGAGGAAAACTTATTGGTTTCCACGGGCGCTCTGGTGATGCTATTAACGCCATTGGTGCGTATTTTTTTCCAGTGCCCGCACTTACACTAGAAAAGGTTGAAAGAGTGGGTGGTGACAAGGGAGATGTATTCGACGATGGTGTTTTCGATTATCTCAAGTCAATTCATGTCGGAAGAGGCTCTGATTGTCTGACTTATATCAAGATTGAATACGTTAAGGATGGGAAGTCTGTAACCAAAGAGCACGGGACGAAGCGCGGGAAGATATACAATGTAATATAAACATCATGGCTTTTGTGTTTTCTTTAGTCGGTTCTTATCTTAGATCAACCCTTTCAAAGTTTATACATTAATTGTGTGTTTCTAATGGCAATTATGACAGGTTTATTTGAATTATCCAAAAGAATGTATCACAGCCATTGGTGGAAGCTGGGGTTATAGTGAGGACTATACGGCAGTGGTGATTAAATCGCTAATCATCAAATTTTCTGAGGGAGATTCTTTTCAAATATTCAACCAGAATCGTTCAATGGGGGATAAAGAATTCATGCTCGAGGGTAAAAATGGAGGAAAGTTTCTTGGGTTACACGGGCGCTCTGGTCATGCTCTTGATGCCCTTGGTGCATATTTTTCGCCAGTTCCCGCACCCGTACTAGAAAAGACTGAAGCAGTGGGTGGTGACAAGGGAGATGAAGTCAAAGTCGGCATTTTCGATGGTGTCAAGAAAATAATTGTCGGAAAACACAATGATTGTGTATCTTATATCAAGATCGAGTACGAAAAGAGGGGAGAAGTTAAATCCTCTGAGCACGGGACGATTCACGGGGAACTAAACGAGGTAATAGAAACATCATGACTTTGTATTTTCTTTGATCGGTTCTTATCTTAGATCCACCCTCTTTTAAAAGTTTATACGTTGTTTTGTTTCCAACGTAAAATGAAATCCAGTTTGTTGTGGATTATCCAAAAGAATGTATCACATCCGTTGGTGGAAGCTATGGTCATAGTGATGAATATAAGGCAGTGTTGATCAAATCTCTATTCTTCAAAACTTCTTATGGAACAACTTCTTCAACTTTTGGCGTGCCGAACTCACCTGGAAAAGAGTTTTTGCTCGAGGGTAAAAATGGAGGAAACCTTGTCGGGTTCCACGGGCGCTTTGGTCAGACTATTGATGCCATTGGAGCATATTTTTGGCCAGTTCCCGCACCCCAAAAGAAGGAAGCAGTGGGTGGTAACAATGGAGACGAATTCGACGATGGTCTTTTCGAAGGTGTCAAGAAGATAGTTGTTGGACAAGATAATGAGTGTGTGTCTTATATCAAGATCTACTACAAAAAGGATGGAAAAGTTGAAACCCGTGAGCACGGTACGGCTAGCAAGACACAGAACGAGGTAATAGAAAAACATCGTGAGTTTGTTTTTATTTGGTCGATATATATATACATTGTTAATTTGTTTCTAATGCCGAATGGAAATCCAGTTTGTAGTTGATTATCCAAATGAATGTATCACATCCGTTGGAGGAAGCTACGGTCATGTCGGGCATTATAACGCAGTACTGGTCGTATCGCTATTCTTTAAAACCTCTAAAGGAAGAACCTCGCCAATATTCGGTCAGACTAATTCATCTGGAAAGCCAGTCGGAACGGAATTCTTTTTCGAGGGTAAGGAAGGAGGAACACTTCTTGGGTTCCATGGACGCTCTGGTGATGCTATTGATTCCCTTGGAGTTTACGTTTGAAATGCGAATGGGTGATGGATGCGGTAAATGGAGGAACTTAAAGGATGAAAGTTACGAGACTGGTGACTATGTGTGTCGAAGTTTTTATCACCAATAAAAGACTTATCTACTCTTTCGTTTTATTTTTCTCTTCATTTTGGATTGCATTTTGTGTAAGCATTTTAAATTTTTGTTGTGTTTCTGTGTATAATAAGGTCCATTCTTTTGAGATCATGTAATGTTTATCTGCTTTTTCATAAATGATGTTTCTTTACAAATCTAGTTTTGAAAATTTATTATCAAAATCAAAAGCTCTCGTCTTCCGGAAATTTTATGCGCTTCAATATTTGTAATTTGATGTCTCAAATTAAATAACTAAAAATATTTTATTTACTTTTTTAATTAAAATATAGTTATATATTCAATCTTTTTTCTCACCTTGAGTTATTTTAAAATTTATGTATTATATATAATGGTTGTACTGTTTTTATGCTATGCGTTTAATAAATACGATTGGTCTGATACGGTCAAGTATACGGCCATAATATCGTATATATATATACGGTAAGTTTTCTTCTTTTTGTAAAAGACGTTCGATCTCTTGTTTTGATATATGATTTATGTTGTTTTGTTTTATCATCTATCGTTTTTGATTAGCTTATATACTTATTACTTTAATAGTGCTTATAATTTTGATGTTCACGTACGTGTCTGGCATTTCATATAGAGAATAAGAGAACTATAATTTTTTTTTTTTTTTTTTTTTTTTTTTTAAATCAAACGGGCCTTCTTTTATTATTGGGCCCCTTAATGGGCTGATGCACGATAATACAAGGGGAACAGAGGCTTTAGGCCCACTGGAATAGTAACCTTCACCGGAAAAAAGAATCGTGTCCTATTGACACCGAGTTGCAGAAGGTCCAATCATCATTTCCGGCGGATGCGAGAACCACAACTTTGCAGCAAATCGAAGTATCTAGTGAACGGGGAGGAAGCATCCGGCTCACGACCACCGTTCCTTTTCCCTCGACCAACCAGCCCGCCACAAGTCTCCCGGTATGAAAAACTTTCCGACGTCTCGGCACGTTGATGGTAGCTCCCGTTCCTAGCAAGCTCCAGCTTCAGACATAACCTCTTTTTCCCAGATCTGGGTTTCTTCCAGTTTGCCGAATCAGATCTCTCCACTCCGGCCTGGCAGACGCAAGTCACGGTGACGAGAAGGACCGATAACTCAATCGGAGACCCAAACGCCCGAAATCCGTGACGGCCTTCAAGATCCATACGGATCTACCGTTAACCGCCAAAGCGCTTCAACAACCCACCATCTCCTCCGCCGACTTCCGCCGTGAGTGCTAAGCCGATCTGACAGATGAGCCACGAGAGCGACCACTGCTCCTAACCGGCGTCTTCAAACCGACCAGATCTGCAGCAACGCTCTCCTTCTGTCATCCTGGCTTCACAATCACATCAACGGAGGAGGAACCACGCCCTTGTCGACAGAGGGAGGAACACTAATTCACCTCTTCATCCCCACAGCAAATCGAGAGAAACTCAAAGGCCTTTTAGAAGAGATCTGGAAAAAGAAGAAAACTTTTGAAGAGAGAGAAGAGAGAGTTTTTTGTGGAACTATAATTCTTATAACGTTATACTATGTTACAAGTAAGAACGAAACGATATTACGTATATGGGTTTTGCTTGTCAAAGACAAAGAACTATAAAAGTAGCACATAAAGTTTATCCGTAGCGTTAAAAAAAAAATTATAAATCGAAATCTAATTACAGATTTACTGTAAAAAACTAGTCATTTTGTAAATAAATTTTCACTTTTATCCTCACTGATCCACAATTAGACCAACTCCAATGATAAATTTTTAACAAGTATGTTGGTAATATTCTAATTACAAAAAGTACAAATATTGAAACTAAAAACTTATGTAAAATTTATCGTTCCAATGGTAAAGTTTTTAATAAGTTACTAAACACTACATTTTAAATAATCAGAAAATTTGTTTCTCTTTTTCTTTTTCTTTTCCTCCACTCAATCATAAGTAGACACATATATCTAAGAAACAATTTCAAAAATTCTTAGCAAAAATTATTTCTTATCTTATTACATGTTTTTGATTTATTTTTTCTCTTTTTAATTCTTAAAAATTTGCTAAAAAAACTTGCATTGGAGTTGCTCTTAGTTTCCGTAAATGGAATATATATTTGCGACAAAGGAAAGGCCTAAAGAAAATGTTATTGGGCCTTCTTTTGTTAATCAGAGTGGCCTTCGCAGTTGGCGCTTTACGCGATTCAGTACCGGAGTTTTTTGTTCGGCGATTGTAGTAGTGGTGGTAGATCGGGACATATTCGCGGTGGATCTAATTGATCTGGATCTGATTATATAGCTGGATCCGGATCCGAATCGTCTTTGCTGATGCAATTGTGCTCAGACTTTTGAGTAGTTTCATTGATCTTCGAGGACTGTGAGAGAGAGATCGAAATGTTGCGCGCGAGAGCATTTCGGCAGACAAATAGTAAGATTGTGAAGATACAAGTACATCCCACGCATCCATGGCTTGTTACATCGGATGATTCCGATAACGTCTCCGTGTGGAATTGGGAGCATCGTCAGGTTAGCTTTTATGGAGATTCTGGTTTCGCTTCTGAATTCCGAATCGTGGATCTTTTCAACGTTTATGAATGTTTTTTTCTAGGTGATTTATGAAATTAAAGCTGGTGGAGTTGACGAGCGCCGTTTAGTTGGTGCTAAGTTAGAGAAGCTTGCCGAGGGAGAATCCGGTGAGCCATTAACAACTTTGTTCTTGTCAATGTCGTATTATATTCTGTTGAGTTGCTCTGTGTCCTGACTGAGATTCATGTTTTGCTTAGACTATAAAGGCAAGCCCACTGAAGCTATTCGAGGAGGAAGGTAAATAGATATTTCCCGCAGCTATTCAATTTGCCCATTTCGATATGAGGAAAAAATTGACTTATCCGCTCAATTTCTGCTCCTACAAGTGTCAAGCAAGTGAAGTTCTATGATGATGATGTGCGTTATTGGCAACTGTGGCGCAATCGCTCCGCAGCTGCTGAAGCTCCATCAGCTGCCAATCATCTCACATCTGCTTTCGTTTCTCCTGCTCCAACGACTAAAGGCAGGCATTTTTTGGTTATATGTTGTGAGAATAAAGCCATTTTCTTGGATATGGTGACCATGCGTGGTCGTGATGTGCCAAAGCAAGAACTTGACAACAAGTCACTTGTCTGGTAAGTTCATTCCGTTTTTTTTTCCTAAGTTTGCTTGATTCTTGGAACCCCTGGAAAGATGTTCTATTACTGTCGGCGTCGAGTCGCTTGAATCCTGAAAAAACCTTCATTAGTTAGTACGTTGAAATTTTTAGTCAAATTTAGACAGTGCATGAGTTGATGTGTGTGTGTGCTTGTAAGTATAATGGATACCATAGCACCTTGTTGTCTATTGTTCCAGTTAATGTTCAAACAGTCTTTCTACTTCTCCGTTTATTTCTGCTCTGTAAATTGTTAGAATTCTTTCTTCTCTTTGCAGCATGGAGTTTCTTTCCAGATCATCGGGTGGTGATGGCCCTTTAGTTGCATTTGGTTCAACTGATGGTATCATTAGGGTTTTATCAATGATAACATGGAAGGTTTGTTTATCCAAAACTTGGATGTTTGTTTCGTTATCCTGCTGTTATCAATCTTGTTAATTTCCCTGAATGTTTACTTCCTTGCAGCTTGCACGTAGGTATACTGGTGGCCATAAAGGATCAATTTATTGTTTGATGAATTTCATGGCATCTTCTGGCGAAGTAACTACAAATTCTCTCAAATTCCCCTTCCTTTTTTTTGCTTTGAATAGTTTTCTGAGTTATATGACAGATGGAAGTGTCATGCAATGTCATATACTTTGGGAAAACATACGCAAGGCCACCTGCTAATGTTGACTAAGATATTAAAAGTAAACGGAGTGGGCATATCGTCTTGGTAGTTTCTTACATACATTAGTTTGTCTTTCTATGATCAAATTATCACATTCTATTAAGCGGGGAGTTCAGACTGCAACATGCCTTACTCTATGGATTATAATTCCAAAATCTAGCCTTAGTTTCTTAGATCTTTAACTACTCAATAGAAGTTTGTTTTCTTCATAATGAGTTTGAGTTAACTCTTATGGATAGCATAGCATTAAGAGCGGGATGAATTTGGACATTGGCGTCTCTTTTCCAAATTGCTTGTTAATACTCTACTCGTTACATATCATGATTAAGTTATGTAGTTAGCCAATTTTCTACTAATACCAGCCTTCTTTTCCTTTATATTATAATTTGACATTTTAATGAACGCTTATCAAGTATTTTCTCTCCGACATACATGTGCAATACATGATACCAGCCATTCTGTATCTAATTGCAATTGCAGGCACTCCTTGTTTCTGGTGGCAGTGATGGCTTACTTGTACTGTGGAGTGCCGATAATGGCACTGACTCAAGGGAGCTTGTACCCAAGCTTAGCTTAAAGGTATACTTTTCATACCTACTCTTCAATGCAAAGTTCAAGAGTTACTGTAGCTGTTCAAGTCTTACGCCTGACTAGATTGGCCAGATTAGGTCACACCTGAGTAAAAGGCACCATTGTTCTTAGTTTCAGTGAACCTTCTGAGTTGATTTCTGTGCCTGTTTCTGAATGTTGGATAACTAGCATTTAGAGTTTTTCGTACATCCTTTTGTAATAGGCTGTGTAATGTTCATGGGAGTATGACATACTCTTATTGTTATTTTGGTTTAATAGAAACGCTCTTGTTTTTTCCTAGTTGAGTCTATAAGTCCCACTTCTCTGGACTGTTTATGTCCTTCCAGATATGGCTTTTGCAAAAGATTTTGCTCAACCTCTGCTGATGTTTTTGCTCTGATTATAGGCACATGATGGTGGAGTGGTGGCTGTCGAGCTGTCAAGAGTAAGTGGCAGTGCTCCACAATTGATTACAATTGGTGCTGACAAGACATTGGCCATATGGGACACAATGACATTTAAGGTAATGTTGTATCTCATGTATGGATTTTGCGTATTTTGCCGATCTGTTTTTTAAACATGCATGTCTACTTTTTCTCTACAGGAGCTGCGTAGAATTAAACCTGTCCCAAAACTAGCTTGCCACAGTGTTGCATCTTGGTGTCACCCTAGAGCACCAA